ATCAATTTCAAAATCATTCTTCCTGTTCATGGCTGTCACCATCCTCCTAGACCATCGCGAAACTGGTTGGGGCAATACGTCCCGGTATTGAAGAATCTCAGGAGAACGGCAGTGAGTAGGCATTGTTATCCATTTTTGAGCAAGGTCTGACGTTGCCGCCCTCAGGCTTTTCCTTACTTTTTCTGATCTGGAATCTTGATTGAATTATCCCAGAGAAATGTCACGCTATTGTCCCAATGAACATAAAGTAAGAAATACCTCGTCAATATCTCTGCACCATCCTCTATCACTGGTAAATTTTATCGCAGGCTGCCAACAAAATTACCCGATCTTGCCTTGTCTCAGATCGCCCCAGCCAGTCGACCAAAATTCAAAACCGCTACAACTAGGTCGTATTCTTCTAACCCAAGTATGTGTTCGGACCTCCAAGCGTGCCTCACAGTGTACTTCGTTCGCCTTTGGAACACGGCGGGTTCCCTCCTTTGAGGGAGGCATCAGCTTTGGTGCACGGCCGTGATGCGCTGACGTTGACCGTCGGTTAGCTAGCTGTCAACATGGAGCTGGTGGTTTACGATGAGACACCCTTCGTGGGCAAAGTCGTCTACCCTTGACGCATGGGTGTGTGCGCTTGGTAACGAACAACGGATTTTTTGATGTAAATTACATTCAATCGACGTGTTTTCTCATTTTCCTGGTCCTGCTTTGATCTGCTTTTATGCCGTTTGAAAAATGCATAATTAGGCTCAATATGAACCTATTACTTTCAGATTGCCACCTCTACTTTGTCCCCATCTTCTGGGATATCTGTCTGAATACACTTGCGGGCCACAGGTGTACATGCAACTACGTGGACCGAATACAAGGGACCAATCAATGACGCCACTATGCTCTCCTTCTTTCGGTGGAGACTTCAGCCAACAGAGTGCAGAGAAGTACACGACGCTGGATACCTTTGCTACGGTAGGGCACACCCTCTTGCTTGCACCATCGAACAGATGGCAGTCAGGTATTAAACTATTGATCGGGTTGCTTCCGCGGATGCTTTTGGACCCATAGAGACACATGAACGTATACAGTCGTCATGAGGCGGGATGGTGCGTCGTGAAAACGAAGTGCGTGAAAAACACTTCTGCAATTCACGAAGCTTCAGGAAGGACGCGTAGGTTCCTTACGCCGACTTTCCTTTTGCACAGCTTGGTGAGTCGAGCGAGGGTCCTCCACCTTACACGGACAATCACACAATGTACAGTTCCCCAGGAATGATATCATGCCATCGCACAGCAAAGGACGGTTGTATAAGATCTGTCTAAGCGTCCGATCAGAGAAAGAAAAGCGTGAACGCGAGAATGCACAAACGGTATGATTATAATCCCATCCAGACGATGGAGGTAGAGCAACAAATATTCTATAGAAAGACAAGAGACTCGCACATTGCCAGAATTTCCTGGTTCCGATAAGAATTCTTTGGCATTCTAAGCGCCTGTTGGTACCATCCATATACATACGGTACAGGTGAGACTGGAGAAGTAAGTATCAGCCGCTTGGAAATGATATGGAAAGATGAACATACGGAGGTAGTGTCCCAAAGGAAGCTGTTCGGTGCGCTGCTCGAAGGCTCTCGAAAATACATCTTCAAATAAGCGATGGAACAACACGGTACGTGGCGGTCCCGGAGTCGAGATGGATTGAGGCACCAAGTAAAAACACGAGTTTGTCATGAATAGCGTGTTGAAGAAACGAAGATAAAGGCTAGAGCAAGGTCCACCTACTAAGGCGCAGCGGAAAATTGGATGCCTATGATCGCTCTTCCGAAAACAGACTACAAAGGAAAGACCAATGTTCATGATGGCGAAATCATGGATTCCTGACGGGACTTTCCGAGTATCAAAATCGATCAAGCTGAAATTATGATCTGTGGCGTCAATAGAAGAAACTAGACCATTCCGGTGTCTTGCTTTCATACCACAGACAAAGGCTTCCTCTTTGGATGAGGTTACTGGGGGAAAAGAAGCTGCTGCAACAAGAAATTCCATGTTTTGTGTTAGCTCCATCTGAGTCGAAGGTGGCAGATATCGATTATCTCATTAGCGGTCAATACGGCTGTTGTGGATTACATACTAGCGCGTTGGGAGAGTCGGGACATTTTCATCCGCTAATTCGGAACAACAATGTCAGCGTAGTAAGAAAATCAGAAGCGTGACAACGAGACAAATCTTCCCCCGTCCATAGATTATTTTAATGATCCAGATCTCCGGCACAGAACGACAGTTGAATGATGTACACAGCAAGTGGGACCTTAAGCTTACCTATGTTTGGGCGAGATAGACTCCTTGAACACGCGTTACTGGAGGGAAAAGAGAGAATCACAGGGAGGTAGCACGAAGGATCATCGAAGTCGCTGGTCAAGTCGATTCGGGCCGAAAGCTCCGATGGGCCACGGAACAATCCGGTGCCACTGCCTCGCACAAAGCCACTTCCGCGACCCTGCGAGGACATGCTCACGATCAATCCATTGTCTCCACTGTTGGCATCTACATACTCCCTAGGTTCTTCGGAAGTCCAGCCATCTAACAAGTATTACAGCGGCGTTGTCTTGTCTACCTTGGTCCTTTGTCTTCGCTTTGATTTCCAAATCCGCACCCAGAAGTTCTTTGTCCAATGCATTGGCCGTATGATTCATTTGAGTTTTCTACTGCTTCCAGCCTTTGTCGATGTCTTGATAACTCGGCCCTATCTAGTAGTGACTCGATGGGGTCCGAGTCGTCTGGGTCCAAACGATGTGCACTTTCTTCACATCTCTGGCAGCAGTCTTTAAGTCAAAGGAATTGCCCTTCTGATCTTGAAGCTTGAAGGATAGGCCTGAAAGAGTCGACTTATCTCACGGACTGCCTCGTGCCCGAAGGGGACTTACGTTGTCGGCATTTCTACCTTTGTTCATTTCCTGATCTTGCTCGAGAAGGAATTCGACTGATGGGACGTTCGCTTTATATAAAGCAAAGAACAGAACCATATGTCCCCCTTGCTTTGTCCCTCTTGATTTGTCCAGCAAAAGCTATGTTCAAACAATGCACGCCTCGTTGCCAATATGAATTAAGAATTAAGAACAATAAAGAGTCTTCTCCTTCGGAGATTCGACGGATTTCACGAATTTAGAAGATAATCGTGATTCACTAAGGCCAATTTGAGGACTCGTCTGCTTTATAAAGTTGTCGCTCGCTGGTAGAGCTTAGATCTTTCATCATACCTTTCTCTTTCGGATATCACTGACGCTTACTTGCTCTTCCCTTCCGGACAAAAATATGGCAGTGAGTGAATTAACCTGTACCATGTCAGTGTTCGTGTTAGTCACTCACATTTTCATCTCTTTACAGCGCCTATCAACCAAACCTCGAAATTTCCTTTGCGAGACGTGCAAGAAGACATTCATCTCAAAACATGGCTTGCTTCGACATGGCAAGACTCATTTGACTGGTGCGGCGCGCGACAAAGAGTAAGTTGCTTATTTTCAGCATCCATCATTCACATCTGAGGTCATGATCACCTAGAATGTATCACTGTCTCCTGAACGGATGCAATTTCAAGACTCTACAATGGAGCAACCTAAGCGTCCACGTCAATGTCATACAGCAAGTCCTTTCCATCGTCTAATTGACCATCATGCTGACGCCAGTCCTACATCTTAGTCTCCGTCTCCAGAACCTCGTCTACCACGAATGCTACCCAGCATATCAAACCGGGGACCCGGCCAATATGACTAGGCACAAAATTAAGAAACATGGGCAGAGCTCGACTGAGAAGAAACGGTCAATATCTAAGAATAAAATCCAGCCAATCAACTTGATGTCGCTATCTTCGCCATCGCCAACCTCTTCCGCAATTCTCTCCGCCCGCCTCTCCTAGCCCCTCCATTGAAACGGCACCAGAGCTAAGGCACAATGTCCTGGACACGTCGCACTCCTCTTTGTCAAGGTACTACCTGTCTCCCAAGCCTTTTTTACGCCCGCCCTTGCCACCGATCCTCGATCGCTCAACCACGTCAGTGTGGTACCCGGACGAATCATGCAGCTCCTCGGAGCCCCTTCCGTCCCTTGCCAGCCTCGTTCTTCCCCGTCCATCTCTCCTGAGCTCAGTTGCTCCTCCCTTCATTCCTTTACGACTCCCAGCCAAACGCTATCAGGGCTCAGCTTGATACCTCCGCTCAGGATAATCACCTCCGCCGCAGCTCTGAGTCGTGTATTCCCCAAAGCCTAACCATTCGTACAACGAACGATGACAGACGCCGCTCGGAATTACGCCTCAGCTCCCTTCCCTCGCGCCGTCCGAGTCGTTCGCCCTCGCCCATGTCCCCCAGCCTTAGATTCGCCCGCACCCAAATTACGCGATCCCTTTCGACCTTACCACGGACCGCGACGCCCCTTCAATTCCATGCGAATCCTTCACTACCCCCTCATGCAATCCCCTTTGTTCCAACCCCGAGTTTGGCAAGCTCCCCCCGGCATCTGAGCCAAAGAAATGGATCGTCACAGGACCTTTAGAAAAATGATACTGATGGCGATATCAATGTTCGTGTTCTTGGCATAAATATCGTATCCACCCACTGTCAATGGCGAGTGTGGCTTACTCTCGGCACTTGAGAGATCTTGTTCTACTCCTACTGGCAAGGACGACATCTCTATTTTGTCGTATTGATTTACGTTCACATTTTCCTACCTGCCACTCGTTGTAGCTATCTTTCCCTAATTGCTACACAATTGTTTCTTCTACCGTTTAATTCCCTCTTCGTGTATTGGACATGTCAAATTTGCTATGATGATCGTACCAGTTATTTCCCTGTGATATTATATATGTAGCTGTCTTGCTAAAGAAATTAAATACACCTCATTATCCTCGTAAGTTGATTACGCTCTCGATGTCTAGAGTATGGACAAAGACTGCTTCGAGTCCTGTAGATAGCCTTTGTGTTTTGATCGTAGACCTTTAATTTGAACAAGATCTACTGTGGCGCTATGGTGTAGTGGCAGCACATGGGATTCTGATATTCGATGTATTCCCATAACCCAGGTTCGAAACCTGGTAGTGCCTCTGATACACCTCATATTTGAGTTTTTTTTGGATTTTCTATAACGGGTACGGGTTACATGTTACGAGTAACAGGTTACAAATTGTCTTTCGACGCGGGCCGCGCGGCGGGCGAACTCCGAAGTTCGAACACCAGCATCATTCAATTTCAAATTAACACTTCAGAGCATCTAGACTGAAGAAATTAACTTGAGGACAAACAGCTTTAAACTTTGGCGAGAGGTGTGAGGTATTATCGAGCGGGTACTTAATCTGTCTTTACATAAAACTGAAAATGAGGTAACAATATCGAATATATTCTATGTCTACTCCGTCTGTTAGTGTCTCCAAATCCCGACGTTAAAGCGCTTCTACAAGACGTACTCCCGCTCGACATACCTTTGGTTCTCCAATCCTCCCAATATACTTAACAACACGTCACCCACAGCGTCAGGCGCTTCTTGAACTACCTGCTCTCATCAGCCTCTTTGTAAAGTGAGACCAGTGGCGAATACATACCAAGTGTCCAGCTCCCGGTATTCTGGTAACGGAGGCGAACCTGCGTCCTCGAAGGAGGGATTCTTGCTTTTCCCGGGTGCTAACATCACGATCAGAGTCCATACAATATATACAAATGAGAGACACACAACAAATCATTCCTCTCCCCGTAGACCAGATGCACTGGCACCTTCTTCCTCGTCTTGTCTAGCTCTGCGACCGGGTACACTGCATTTATCTGGTTGACGAATGGCTGAGTCTCGTGCTCAGGACGACACCTGAGGGACACTCCTTCCTTGTCCTCCTCGAAACCATGCTCCTAGTTGAATAAGTTGACGTCTAGCGACGGCAGATTTTACCCACAACATATAAATCCAAAATGCGCTTATCCCAGGTTCCCCACGGTGCGCGCTTCCTAGATCTTTACGAACAGCATCCCTGCTCTCCCAAGTCGTCCGTCGGCGTGGGATAGCGACGCAGGCGAGCTTGTAAGCAGGCGAGTCTGCATTGTCGATCATGGATCCCGGCCAGATGGCAGGTTCAATAAGTATCAAAGCGGAAAAAGGTGGGGTGCCGGATTGTCCTGTAGAAAGATGGTACTAACGCTCTGTGAAGTAGGCGTCAATCGAGAAGAAGATCTTGAGCCGGGACGCTCACGCAGATGCAGCTCCTGCCGAATGGCCAAGCAGCACGATTGGGTGACGCGTTCCGTTCAGATGGGTCTTGCACAGGTTCGCGCATGCTTCAGCGTAATGATACGAACCTATTATTGTCAGCTACCGCCCCAGGTCCTGCAGTTCAAACTCACTGTAGGTGTACCCCAATTCATCGATGGCGTCTCTGTTGAGTGTAGCTGCTGCGCCATGCGTCTGCGAGTCGAGTGCCCAGGCTTCGATGACGGGCCCACCGTGGGCGTATAGGCGTTCGATAATTGGCTCCCAGTGCTCTTTATCTGTTCTGTCTGATCAGTAGGGAAATGTGAGGGAGAAGATAAACATACGGAATCCAGTCCCGTGCGCGAATATCAGGATGTAACCCTCCTTGGTGGCGGCAGACGGGCGGTACCGCTTCGCAGTAGAGACGAGCTGAGTTCCGGCACTATATGTGTCGATGATGAACTCGGTTACATTCATGATTGTGTGTGGATCAAGGAGGGATGGCGCCACAGATGTTCCTTATATACCTGAAGCTCCCTTACATTTGGGGAGGATTGCACCCGACTGTGAAATCCGAATCGCAGCGGCAACAAAGGTTTTGTTTTGTGCATCCGTGTTGTGGAAACAAGAGTTGGCAGTGTTGATAACGCTCATGGTAGCAGGTAGGTAATGGTGAATATATATACCGCTCTTATACCGCTGTAACAAGTAAATACTATACAAAGGCTCGGTCGGATCGGGGTTCAACTTCCAAAGACGGTGGAAGGCTTACGTTGTACCATGCGTCGACGAGTTTATTTTTGAAAACACTTCAATAGCCCAAGCGATAATAAGCACGACGGCCGCCGTCATGACTAAAGAAAGAAAAAAGTCGGGCATCATTTTCGGGTAAGTATACCCAGTGGGAAGGTGGGATCCCGTGGAGATGTCTCCAGGTGCGACCCAGATTTCAGTGGGATTTTCTGTAGGATTACCTCCAGGGGGCACCGTCGAGTTGGTTAGATTCTCAGACCCGCATGCACTGTGGTATTTGGGCGCACTGACCGCTGCTCTCCCAGCCGTCTCGAACTCAACATGGGCAAAAATTGCATGATACTTCTATGAGAGCCACTCGTCAAGCTGCGCGTGAGGTCAACGAGTTGAACTTCGAGGGCAGGGGGGTAAAACGTGCAATTCAGAGAGGCGGACTCGGCCGCGGAGGCCAGAGCGGGTATGTTCAATAAAAGGCGGCCCAAGCGTAGCATCCGGACGCCGGAAAATGCGATGCTTGTACCGAACTCAATCCCACCAGAAAAAGGTGTCAATCCAGGAGAAAGCAAGATTCCCACGGAAGAACTCCGATCCTACCAAACAATGCGATCTTACCCCGTGTTGGACGCCCCTCTCCGTTTTCGGAATTAAGCTCGCCGCAGAGGTAAATGTTAACAATCAAATCAAATTCCCATCTCCCCGGCTATGCATGCATACCACTACTACTATAAGTCCATGAAACGAATGTCATGTAGATACTTGAAGAGAAATATAAAAAAAGAACCACACCAAAAAACAAATCCTACACCCCACTCTCCTCTTCGGTCATTCTTCAAACCGAGAAGTCAAACTTCTGGTCCGCGGAGTCGTTGCAACTAGCCAACGTCAACTGAGCGCCAGGTTTGTTCGTGACACACAACCCGTTAGTGTTGGAAGTGATGCTGCAGCTCGAGGCGACGACGCCTTTCTTGCCGGAAATGCCCGTAGAACACGTCGAGCAGTCAACCATCCACTTCTGGTTCCTGTATATGGAGTCAGTTACGGACATATGTCAAAGATCAGACGAGGACGTACGCATTGCTACCTGACCAGTCAACATTGGCCATGGACAGAGCTCCACCGTTGAGTTCGACGGCGAAGTTGTTGTTTTCCACGGTCCTGTGAAAATCTCGTTAGTAAGACTCCAGAATAAAGGTAAAGGATGCGTACTTGACAGTGTAGCTGACAACGGGGTTCCCGTTCTGCTGGAAGAAGAACTTGGAAGGCGAAGTTCCAGAAATGACGGGCGCGCCGACGGCGGGCTTGGCTGACCACGAGTTTGCGCCACTCGGGGTGGTCAGAGTGAGAGCGGCACCCTCAAAGTTGGGATGGCAACCTGGGGTGACACCCCTCGGGCGGCCAAGGGCGACGCGGTAGCGGCAGGTGAAAAAGAGAGCGGAGATGAAGAAGAGGATTGAAGAAGACATTGAGAACAAAGTTAAAAAATAAGAGATGAAAATGATCAGTTTTCAAGAAGACGAAGAAGATCAAAAGGCTGCAAGTAGAAGTTGGAAGGTGATGAGATTTGAAGGTAAGTAGATGGCGGCTTTTATAGCGGTTTCGCGACCAGCTGACACGGTCATACCACTCTGGGTGGTGAGCGGTGAATGGGAGGCTGTACTGGATCGGGGAGGCTATGAGCGACGTAATGACAAAGTTTAGGATCGACTGTATTCACCAGCGGATATGTTTTGCTTCAGCCGCGATCCAGGAGTCGAACGCGGCCGGGAGGAATGGTTCCCGCCCTCGTTTCAGATCGCGCGCGCGCCTCCGATGTGGCTAAACATACGCTCAGCGCTGTTGAGACATCGAACCGTTCTAAGTTCCTTCCTGAACAGCATCGTCAGCGGCACTCTTCCAAAGAAATTCAGCAGCAAAATGTAAGACGAAAGTTTCAGTAACAAAAAGTTGCCGTCATGCATACTACCAAGATATCAGTATTTTGGGTTCATTGAAAGAGCACGGTTCTTCAGGATCAAAGAAGGAAACGTGCCATCCTTTAAATGGCATAGTCTGAAGCATGCTATGAACAAACGTCCCGAAAACAGACGAAAGTAAAAGGGTTTCATAAGAATATAAGGCGTTCTCGGTATAGGACTCAAGATCCGTACACGTAAGTCGAAAAATGCAGAATATTCGTCTCGAATCGTTCAATACGCACAGGTTTATCTCCTCGATTGCGAAGCATACGGAAAGTGTACACAGCAATAGACATCGGTGACTCGACCGCCTGAAAAAAGTCAAACCGTAAGCAATGATCATTGCATTCTAGAAGGTGGAAAGGAAGAGTCTCAGAATCGTATACGAAAATATCGTCAAACCTAGCGGACTAGGTCGTACTCATTAAAATCAGTTTTTTTGGGAATCATTGAATGGGAAGAAGGCGCAATAGCCTCAGAGGGTAAGAGTCATTACACGCACCAGTTGTCGTGCGTCAAAGGATGGAGCTCGTGATTTTAGGTAGCGTATAGGATGAAGCCCCAAGTATGTAACGTCTGCGGAAAACGAGACGGTGAGCAACATAGCTACTAAACAGAGAAGAGAAAATCTCAGAAAAATAAAAAAAGATATCGTCAAGCCCAGTAAACTGGGTCAGGCTCATTAAATCAGATTTTGGTTTGGAATCATTGGAAACTGCAAATGAATTCGAATACTCACCATCTAGGAGTCCCAGCCAATATTTCTAAAAAATAATTGGCCCATGACGAACAGATAATTATCGCTGGGTACAGCGTTTGGAAGGCAAGGCGGTGAGGGGAAAAAGAGGACGCACCGGGTATGCCCGATAGATTTCTTTTTAATCTCCGAAAGGCCGCTGGCGGCCCGCCAAGGCGATGCGGACCGTCGTATACGACGAATCAGGGTAAGCGAGCTCTGAGAGCTTTCGGCTGGACAGCGAAAAAAAACTTATGAAAGTGTCACATGCTGAGAAATAACCTGGAATTTTCGTGGAATAAGAATTCGCAGAACTTGTGTCAGGCATTTCACCATTTAAAAAAAACGTCAATAATACTTGAGGTAGGGTGCGAATACTAAATAAAGTCGCTATGCGTTCCCGAGCCTCCCAGGTACATCGATCAC